CCCCCTGATAGTGGGCAATTGCACTACAGATAGTGGTACATTTCACTCCAGATAGTGGAACATTTCACTCCAGATAGTGGCACATTTCACTCCAGATAGTGGCACATTTCACTCATGATAGTGGCACATTTCACTTCAGATAGTAACACATTTCTATAGAAAGCCGTACGGGACCCTGCTGTGTCAATATAAATTGCATGGTAAAACATACAGCTTCAAAATTATGCTGCTTCTTCAACAAAATGTCAACAAGATGTCTACGTTTACAAATTGTAGTAGTGGCAATCAGCGCAAAACTTATTCACATTCGTCGCTAATTAATTAGTAGTTGTCGCAAAGCGAGTTGTAGTAGTCGCCATTTAACGGGTGATGATTTGTATAAGTCACTAACACACCACAGCGTATTTATTGAAGACGTGGTTCCTTAATTTCTAGATGACGATATTTCATTTTCCAATTTGACGAAGTAAACGAGTCCCCTAGTAGACGACGCAACTTGCACTTGTCAACCCTAACCCTAACCCCATTTCAATCCTGATAGGGGCACGTTTCACTCCAGATAGTGGCCCATTTTACTCCAGATAGTGAAACATTTCACTCCAGATAGTGGCCCATTTCAATCCTGATAGGGGCACGTTTCACTCCTGATAGTGGCACATTTCAATCCTGATAGGGGCACATTTCATTCCCGATAGTGGCACATTTCACTCCAGATAGTGGAACATTTCACTCCAGATAGTGAAACGTTTCACTCCAGATAGTGGCACGTTTCACTCCTGATAGTGGCACGTTTCACTCCAGATAATGGCACATTTAACTCCTGATAGTGGAACATTTCACTCCTGCTAGTAGCACATTTCAATCCTGATAGTGGTACATTTCACTCTAGATAGTGAAACGTATCACTCCAGATAGTGAAACGTTTCACTCCAGATAGTGGCCCATTTCAATCCTGATAGAGGCACGTTTCACTCCTGATAGTGGCACGTTTCACTCCTGATAGTGAAACAATTTACTCCTGATAGTGGCATATCTCACTCCTGATAGTGGCACATTTCACTTCTGATAGTGGCACATTTCACTCCAGATAGTGGCACATTTCACTCCTGATAGTGGCACGTTTCACTCCTGATAGTGGCACATTTCACTCTAGATAGTGGCCCAATTCACTCCAGATAGTGGCACGTTTCACTCCTGATAGTGAAACAATTCACTCCAGATAGTGGCATATCTCACTCCTGATAGTGAAACAATCACTCCAGATAGTGGCACATTTCACTCCTGATACTGAAACCTTCTCCCTCCTGATAGTGGCACATTTCAATCCTGATAGGGGCACATTTCATTCCTGATA